GGAAGAGTCAAATTCTTTATGAAAAATAAACTTTTGACAAGAATATGTTTAGGGAATAATGTAAAATGCAAAAAGTAATGGGAAATAGGGTGGACATGGTTCAATATGATTATGATTTCAAGAGAATCGAATCGAACCATGAACCAATGATTTTTTTTTTAAGATATGAAACTAAAGCGGAACCGAAATATTCGATTATGGTTTGGTTTGATTATAGTTTCATTACCGGTTGAGAAATAAATTAATATTTGAGGAAGAAGAATCGAAGGTTGATGCTTCAATTTTAGAAATTCGTGCGATGATGGTAGTTGAGCGTGACCATAGACGGCATGGGGTAGTTATTGATCTTCATTTAAGAGTTGGTGTATAAATTGAGAAGGAAAAAATGAGAAAAGAATTAGAGTTTGGGTCTCCAAAATGAATTAGAGTCTCTCGTCTCTACATTAAGAAATGAGAAATCGAATATACATGACCTTTTTGTCCTAATTTTCAATTGAATTTTGAATTTTTTTATATGAATTGTTATTCACTAATTTGTAAATATGTATAAAATAATAAAATATAAATTTTGAGTTTGATTCTTGGTTCTAGAACTAGAATCGAACCAAAACCAAAATCAAATAGTTCACAGTTCAAAGAATCAAAATCATTTTTTTTATAGAACCGAACATGGCCGCTGATTGGATTTTGGTTTAGTCATTTTGTCCATCCCTAACGGAAAATAACGTTGACCCCACTCATTCGCTTGGTTGTCACTCCTTGCTCAGATTAACCAAAATACCAAACTTGAATTATTATATAAAGTGATCGTGTTCTTTATTCGTCGTTGAATGGACTCAATTCTCAATTCTCTTCAATTTTAAAATTCTATTTTTGAAGTTTAAGGCACACTTAAAACTTTAATTTTTCATTGATCTACAAATGATTTCAAACAACCAAATATACTATGAATATCTTCTCGTGAAGATGAAACATTTTCAACATCAAACTTACCGACAAATCCAACTTAAATATTTGGTCAAGGTTTCCAACTTGTAACTTCATCAAATTCCCACTTCCTTCCACATGGTTACAAATTCTTGGTTTTCCTTGGATTCATTTTCTCGCCACATAGGTGAGAAAATGGTTTTTCAGGTTTTTTTTTTCAATGGAAACAAATTTTAAGTGGAATTGTAACAAATTCTTTAATGAACAATTTTCATGAAAAACAAAGTCAAACAAACACCAAAAGATCCAAAATTTCAACATTTTTCAGGTGAAAAATTATACCAATCAAACACAATTCATTGACAATTCTTAGGAAAATAATTCTAGGCAATTCAATTCCCTCAAATTCATTTTCTTTCCACCCAAATTTACCAAATTTTCAATATTTTTCAAGTGGAAAATTATATCAATCAAACACAACTAATTGACAATTCAATGGAGAACAAGTTTTAGGCAATTCAATTATCTAAAATTCATTTTCTTTCCACCCAAATTTCACTCTTGTAATCAAATGGACCCTGAAGGTTAAAAAAATAATAATAATAAATTCAACGACTAAATGTTATATAACTAATTTTTATACCCAGTGTTTTCATGGGGGAAGTTTCATCTGGCCAGGTTTCATTTATGAATAATTTATTTATTCATCCAATTTTCATAAATTATTGCTTTGTAGGATGCAAATTAAATATAGCCACCAAATTATTCGTGTTAATCTAGTACAAAAAAAGATGCATAATGAAGTTGACACCTGATATAAAATATATATAATTAAATAAAAATCATCTTATAACAATTAGCATTGATTTTAAAGCGATTTTGAAATTTTTAATGAGTTTGTTGAATTCCTCATAATGCATAAAATAACTCTATGCCTTCGGCTTCGCACGCGGTAGTTTTTTTTTTTTTTACTCTTAGCACTATTATTATTATTATTACTACTATTATTGTTATTATTATTATTATTTGACATTTAAAATAGTCGATTTACATATAAAATAAATATCTTGTACATATTGGAAGGTGATGCACTCTAAAGAAAATTAATATCAACCTCATAGCTCTCCTTCTAGGAGCTAGGGGTGTCCAAAAGTCCCGAACCGAATCCGAACCCGAACCGAATCGAGTGGTTCTTCATAAATTAAATACCCGAAAGGGTACCCGAATCGAGAACCGATGGGTTTGGGTCGGGTCTCGGGTCTAGACCAAGAACCGAAGAACCGAACAAGAACCGAAACTAAATAATTTTTTTATTTTTTATATTGAATTAATTAAATTATAGTATTTTTTCTAAACAAATTAGAAAATTAATTAAATAAATCAGATTATTTCATAATTTTAATTTTAAANGGAACCGAACCCGAACGGTTCCATAATTATATTTAGACCCGACGAGTCCATTTATTAAATACCCGAAAGTTTTGGGTCGGTTCGGGTCTCTTCAGAATCGAACCGAACCGACCCACGGACAGTCCTACTAGGAGCTTTAGTTAGTGGACCATAGGCCTTCTAAACTATTTGAGATCTGTATTTCTAATATATTGTTTTAATATAAATAAAATATTTGGTGTGAAAATTAACAGGTTTTAAACCACTTTTATCGTTTTTAAAGCCATTATTTTTCAAGAAAAATACGAAGTTCACAATCCTAATCACATCGAAATTAACTTATCTCTATAGAAAAACTTTTATAAATGAAGAAATAAGTAAACAAATAAATGTATAATTTGTTTATCAATTTAAAAATCTACTGACAGTTTTGCTTCAAAATGTGGATAAAACTAATATTGTTGTTGTTGGGATTTTTAACACTGTAAATGTAAACTAACAGAAGTATAAACACACAATCACATTACAGAAAGTAAAAAAAACACCAAGAAACGTTCACCCAATTCAACTTTAAAGCCTATTCTGAGGGCTCAAGCAGGGACGGATTTAGGGGGGCTACACAATTTTATTTTATTTTTTTAGTTAAAAAAAAATTATGTAAAAAGAAAAAAATCATGTGTAATTTTTTTTTTTTTTTCCCCGTATTAACCCGGCCTGTAATTCTGTCCTGATCCGTCCATGGACTCAAGGATTAGCTCAAATACTAAGCACAACAAATAACCTTCCAACGAGAGAGTATAGATTATGAGGGACTCAATCAGACCCAAATTTAATCGTCGATCTTCTAAAAATCTCTTAAATCTTAAACCCTAACAAAAAAATATCCCAAAGCTTAACAAACTTCTAAAGACTTAGAAATCAGCCACTATTACAGGCCTGATACACTGTAGCAACACGAATCACACATGATTCCTCAATAATTTTGGCTAGAACCTCTAAGAAATTATAGATCGAAAACAACAAGGCTAGAAGAACTTAGAGAGAGAAAGAGTCACTCCAAAAACGAAATGGCAGAATGAAAAGAATCATCGAGAACCATAGCCAACCCAAGAGTCATAGTGGTGTGAATAAAGCTCAGCCGTATGTCATATCCAATGGTTCATCGTCCACTAAAAGAAGCACAATCCAAGTTACAGAATGAGAGCCAATCTGGAGTTGCCATGTGGCCATCCAACCAAGTTGGCAATTTAAAAGAATTGTTAGTTTTGAGAAAAACGTTTTTTCTCTACAATTATTATTATTATTATTATCAAGTTAACAAGTTTCAAAATCTTTAATGAAGTCTAATTCCTTCACAAAATACTTTTCTCTTATTTCAGCTGAAATCATGATCAAATTTGTAAAGTTTAATAGTCCAATCTATTACAACTCAAATCTTCTGTTACATGTAAGAAACATATCTTTTGTGTTACTAAATATTAAATTTTTAGTAAATTTTGATAAAAATTGATGAAAGTGCAGTTGAAAAGTTGATAAAAATTGTGAATATCACAAAATCTTTGACAGAAAGTGTGTTTGGAGGAAAATTAAATTTTAAAAAATGATGAACAAAAAAATGTCTTAGAAATTAATCATTCGTACAAATTAAATGCAAGGAAAAGCCTTAAAAGTAAAACCATTTGTCGATAAGTGGTTTTTGGTATTTGACAATTTTTTTTCTAAATAAAAACCTGAAAATAGTCAAATGGAGAATACATTGTCCCGTACAAATATTAGATGTAATTTTACTAACTAAATGGGTTTTGATCAATTGTATTTCATAATAATTTTTAATTAAAGTTAAACAATTCAATTTGTATTATTAGTTCAGCACAATATAGCTTTGTCTGGTTATGATTTTTTGCAGATTAAAATTATAAAATTGATCGTTACCTTATCCATGAGGGCCCCACATGAGAGAGAGTCAGTCAACTATTACGGCTGGGACCCAGGACAACGATCAGATAATTGTTAAAAATCAGATAAAAAATTAGAAACAGACACGGCCTATATAAGAATACTAAAATGGATATGAGATTTACTTTATCTCTTCGAGTGGGAGTAAAATTTCATTCTCGTCTATCTACTTGTGTCCATGTGGGGAAGGATAAAAATGTATGTACTTAGTTATTACAACTTGAGACATAGTCAACTCCTATAGCGTGACATGGATTGTGTGCAAGGTCATGAGAACAATTGTACGAGTGCTTGATAATTAGTAGCGATTCTAGCTTCATGCAGACGAGTTGTAGCCTACTACTTGAAGAAATTTGAATATTGTAATAAGATCGATTCATACATATTGTTTTAATTTATTTAAAATAAGAATTTTACTCCATCTCTTGATCTTGCATTAAGAAGTCTGAACCCTAATGCATGTACATATATATTTGCCAACTTTATTACTACTTCAAACAAGTTCCACTGTTACAAGAATTTTCCTAATGTGGATACTAATTGAAGCTTATCACTAAAAAGCATACACTGTAATCCCAACTGATACTTCACTTTACCACCTAATCACCCTTCCCCCACCCAACTCCCTCTTAGTCATCTTCTTGACTGTACAAAATTTTCTTGGAGTGATTTGGCTTCAAATTTTCATCATTCTCTAGCAGTTTTTTTTGTAAAGATTTTCTTTTTTGTCAATTCCAGTCATCAGAACAATACCAATGGAGGGTTGGAGCTTGATCATCAGAAAAGAAAGTACTGCATGATTCCTCACTGGAGAAAAAGTTGTGCTCCTCAATTTTCACAGACTGCGGCATATAAGCTTTGTGGGCATCTCCAAGAATACTTGCTTTTGTGTCTGAAAACTGGAAACTGCAATTCATATTCTCAACAAAATCCAAGAATTCGTCATGTGGGCTCTGATGAAGAATCACTTTCTCAGTCGAAGATGAAATAGCTGCAGTCGGGCTATTGTTGGTTTCTTCATTCAAGATTGCACTTGAATAATCAGTGCTATCAGATGATCTGTTTTCTTTAAAGTTGTCAAAGTTTGCACCAGAATCTGATTTAGCATTGCCTTTTTCATCAGTTTGTGACTTTACTGCCTCTTTCTTGACAGAAATCTTGCTTTCAGCACCTTCGTCTAGCTTTGATTTCAGGTCCAGAATCTGAAAAAACGTGCAGAAAAATTCAAAGATTTTATCTTGGTTTTAATGATCTTTTAACTGAATTAAGACTAGATTTTGTTGTACCTCTCTAAGTAGAGCTTCATTGTCACATTGGAGAGTTTCATAGTTGAGTTTAAGGGCATCATAATTGGCCTTGAGAAGGCCATAATCTCTCTCTAATTGCTTAGTCTTCCACCGTGCACGGCGGTTTTGGAACCAAACAGCCACCTGCCGTGGTTGCAGCCCAAGTTCTTGTGCTAACTTCACTTTTCGATCAGGTTCGAGCTTATTTTCCACTTCAAAATTCTTCTCTAATGCCTTAACTTGATCCACGTTTAATCTCCTCTTCTTTGGGCCTAATTCTTCAACACAACCTTCTTCATCTAACCCTTCAAACATGCTTTGAAACTCCCTCGAGTAAACATGATTGTTCCCTTGCTCATGTTCATCTACACCAAACAAAACAACTTATAATTAGAAATTAAGTGAAAATAAGACAAAGTACAAACTACAGAGGGACAAGAAAACATTCTTGGAATAACATGGATCAATTACAAATGAAATTATTTTCACCTGTAGTGTTAGGACAGATGGACATAAGAGCATCCATTGAATCACTACTACCAAGTCTCTTCATTCTTGATGAGTGATGACTGACCCAAACTGTACTCAAATTTGTATTAAAATCTATTAGATCAGAATAAGCAAAATCTGTTTCTTAGTCTCTCTTCATTTTCAAGAAAAGGTCGAACCCAAATTCACTGCCAGAGAATCCCAAGAGGCAAGGCATAGATTTGTATACATGTAAATTCACTATGCAGCTTTTTCTCTTTCTTGGGTACTCCATTTTTCTCCTTTTTTATCACTTTCTTTTCCTCTGAATTCATCAAAAAGAAAAAGCAAACAAAACCCAAAACCCAAAAAAATGAGTAATCAACAGCTGCACTCTTTCTTTACATGATTATTACTTCAATCAATTCAAGAACCATATATTGAACAGCAATGGGGAGGGGAGAGGAGAGGAGAGGGGAGGGGTGGAGTGGGTGGGGGAAGAGGGATGGGGAAAGATCAGTAGACCAATTCAGTACCCAGCTGGCATCTCAAAATTTCTGTCTTTAAATAAAACCAAATGGGGTCACATATAGGGTTGGAATCTGACTGGGGTTAGGTATATTTTTTGCAATATGGGTTTGGGTATAAATGAAAATGAAATGAAACCCAAATTCAAATTTTGTGTCTACCGGTTATTGCCGGTGTTTTTTGACCGTTTGGGGGAGAGATTTTGTTTTTGGCTGTGGTAATGTGATAAGAAGCTTTCATGAGATGTGATAAGTGGAAATCTTCGGAAGTCCGGTGAGCTCGGCTTGTCACGTGTGGCTCGGCTTGAGTCGAGCTGGTTTAGATTTTTGGTAGTCACTTATAGCCTCTTTGATGCAGATAATTTAAGAATAATTTTATAAAAATTCATCTTTTTAGAAAATTATTAGTTAAAAAGTTGAAAAATATTATGCGTCTTTGTGTAAATTATTTTATTTAAAAAATAAGTTTTTAAAAAATAAATTTTAAAGAATCTCTACAAATATGGTTTGAATAAGTTTTTAAAAAATAAATTTTAAAGAATCCGTACAAATATGGTTTGAAGTATTTGTTGATTTTGCGAACACACATAGATATATTAAGGGCCTATTTGGGAGGGATTAGATTTTTCTACAGTAAATCAATTCTCATTTTCAACCACACATTTTTCAATAAAATAATATTTTCCATCACATCAATAATTTTTTTTTCTTTTTTAACCACACATTTCCCATCATATCACCATTCAAAAAAATTCTCATTTTCAACCACACATTCTTCAATAAAATAATATTTTCCATCACATCAATAATTTTTTCTTCTTTTTCAACCACACATTTCCCATCATATCACTATTCAAAATCAATTCTTCCCCCAAAAATCTCTCTCAAACAAGCTCTAAATATCTTTATTTCTCGTCTTGTCTCGTCCTATTCCGTCTAAAAATCAGGATACATCTTCTCGAAACATGGGTTTAATATTTATTTTCCTTATATTTGAAATTTTTAAGTTTTTAAACAATTCTGCTGTGTGTACAGAATACTGTACGCACAGAAGGCGGCCAGAACACTCACAAGCAGATGGGGCTCGGCATTTTTTACAATATTTTATTCATAATGGGACCCACCTCCATGTGAGATTTCCGGCGAAATTCCTCTGGTGAAATGGAATTATTCTTAAAATTTTAGCATTTATGTCGTCAACTGACCGAAATTATCGACTTGACAAGTCAATTGCTTCATTAAAAGACAATTATACAGTTGCTCTTAATTAAATTAATTATATAAATAATAAATAAAAACAAAACAAAAAAATCATAGAAAAGAACAATTTATCAAGTAATTGACCATTCACAGACTGAATTTTCTTACCGGTATCTGATAAACAAGGCTAAGATTCTTATCTTCTATAGTGTTCAAAGAACAATGGAGGATATTGCAGATACTGTATATAAATTGCACTATAAAAGATAATACTTAGGTAGCACCGTAGCAAACCGATCTACGAAATTAAAAGATGAATAGAGCGATTAGAGATTGAAATGTCAAGGTCTTATAAATTGGTCCTAACATTTAATGGTGTCCATGACAAATGCTTCACCTAACCGTAACGGTCAATGCAGGAATTGTGGTCCATCCAATTTGGATACAAAATGTATTGGACCATTCGATCTTTGTACAGATTAAAGACTGCCAAAAACAATAGATTTTTCAAGAACTCGATCACTATCATATCCGAAGTGCCACGAATTCTTCGTAACGAAATTACATTTTATAAGAACCAAGGAGATTAAAAAAATCAGATGATATTTTGTGATATTCATACGAAGCCTCGTATCCCTTTTCCACTTAAAACCCAACAAAATGATTTGTCTACTTAAAAAACCTTGTCGATCATACTATTAAGATTAATGTTGTAAAACAACCAAGATACTAGAATTGTTCTGATACCAATTGTTGTGAAACAAACCACTGGATTGAGATGTTGAAATTATATGACAAATAATAATGAAATATATGATCAAGTAAAAGAAAAATAAAGACAAAAATATGAATTAAGAATTAAGAGATTTATTAACTCAAGAATAATGGAGAAAAAAGAAAATTGTAATGGATCATATAATTCTAGTAATCTATTTTCTCACACCTATAAAATTGTATAGAAGAGCCTAATATTTATAGGGAACATGTAAAGGACGTTCAAATTCTCTGGTAGAGTTGTTGATGAAGAAGGATGCCAAAAAATAGAATCCAAAACGAAGTATGAAAGAAAACAGCGAAAAACCCGAACATCACATATGGCGTCGCGGCACCGGGTAGTCAGCCGAATTTTTTTTTTCTCCATCCAAATTCTTCTTCAAATCTAATATCAGATTTTCAACTCCCGATGGACTTCCAAAATAGAACTTTAACTTGACATAAAACTCCAATAACATTCCAAACTGAATTCTCCTTCACGTGCACTTCAATTAGAATTCTTCAATATTTCAAATACTTCAACAAAGAATTTGAATTACACCCAAAATCTAACAATTAAAAACTAGAAAACTTTGTTTCCATTTTCTCGATTGAGATGGAAGAAATCGAAGACAATAAATTTGAAATGTACCAGAAAACTTAAGACGGCCCGTAAGTTAATAAATATTGTATAATATAACAGTATGTTGAGAACCTATTATTAAATAGAATTAGATAGTAAAATTTATGAGATTTTAACTTATGTAATATAACTTTTTTTTAGAAAAAAATGGCAGGAAAAGATCTTCTCGTCTGACTGCATGCATGGTTGATCCAGTATGGGACATTAAATTGTGTTTCTGACCTGCAGAAAATAATGACCTTCATAACTTTCTTGGATAATTTCTTCTACTATTTTATGATTACATATGAGGAACAATTGAGCATACGAACATTTTAGAGTTGCGAGTAATGAATGATAAGTAGATAGTTACCCATAAGTAACGATGGTAGAACCCCATCAACTCGGCAGCCATTCAAGATAGCTGCATATCATTTCCTCACTAAAAATATTTATTTGAACGTTGACGTGATACTTTCGTAATATTAAATTGAAAGGATAAAATTGTCTAAAGCGATTTCTTTCATTGAAAAAAAAAATTTGTAACTTTAAATTTCATTTAGAAATCCGCCTAATGTAAATTTCATGAGTGAAACTTATCCCCTTTGTTTTAATTCATACCAACATCACATGGCCATTAATGTCCAGACAAATATTTTCTGTTAGCAGGTGACATGGGTGCCACAGTCTTAAAAGTTTGGGAATATGAGTGTTAAGTGTTCTAAAATGTTTATGGCGTGACTAGGCTCAACTTTCATGGACTGCACATGTGGTCCCACGTCTTCGATGCAGCCATCTCCCCTTGACAAGTCCGAAACAATCGACACACTCGTATGCTTATGAGTACGATGTTGACAAATACCTGCATATGATAACATAGGACAGTCATAAATTTAGTTGTTGGTAACGTTGTCGTCCCATATAGGGAGGGGAATATGCTAATTACATGACATTCTCCACAATCCAATCCATTTATGCCCTCGTAGCGGGACATGAGATTCACATCATCACACAATCCTCTCATTGCATTCTCCTTAACGTGGATGGGTAAGAATAATTTCCACAATTGCGGTTCCACTACTTGATGGACTGGCATTTACACTCTGTTCGTAGTTCACATATACATACCACCTTCGATACCAACATTCACCCTATGCCCATAGGCATTAGTTCATTGGATGGACGACATCTACCGCAACTCCACAATGCATGTCAAAACACCAACACAAGATGCACATCACTATAATTTTCTTTGCAATGTTCATCGCGCTCCATGAAACAATTAGATAAAGCACATAACAATTAGACCTATTCACACAACGCCCGCATTTATCATTCATATCTCCAAAGCTTTCTTCATCAGTTTTGCACGCTTGCCAACCCATTTAGCAAATATATCGCAGTCACAAAATCGTTTCCACAAGAATATATGTTGGTGATCTCTCGCAACCAACAACACGCATTCAAACGAGCTCGCTCTAATACCAATTTTCATGGATCGCCTTTGATGTCTCCAGGTCTCGCGCCCTCAACATAGCCATCTCTCCTTGCATAGTGAACAAGTCGGAAACAGACAACACACTCGCATGCTTATTAGTAGAATGTTGCACAATTCCTCCATATGACGACACTATTAGTGCACTTTTCGGTAATATAGATCGTACGCCTAACTGTTGGCAACATTGTCATGCTACATGGCGGGGAGGAGTACACTAGGTACATGACACTAAGATGAGATCAATCCTTAAACCTTCTGAGCCTAGATGTGTTTAGGCAAAACCTATGCATTAAAAGGCTTTTCTTATTTGTAATATTATATGATCATTAAATAAATAAAATAATGTATATTAAACTATTAAAATCATAATGCGAGACGTTTGAAATGTTTCCGTCCATTTAAAACCATAGTCCTACAAGAAGTGAGATGTTTGAAATGTTTAGATGCCAAGAATCAAAAGTTAAGAACCCGTTTTTACAAATTCA